TTACTCATTTAAATATAAAAATTAAATTAAAATTATTTTACATATTTTTATTTTTAAAAATATTCCTTAAAAATTATGTAGTACATATTAAAAATTTAAATGTTCAGAACTAAAAAATATTTAAGCTTTTAAAAAATTATTTTTATATTTAAAAAGCTTTTAAGAAGTTTTCTAAGCAATATATGAAAAAAATTAAAAATAAAAATAAAAGCTTTAAGGCCAAAAAAGTTTGCAATTGTTTTGACAATTCCTTAAAATTTCCTTTTATTTTAAAGAATTTATTAAATGTTCTAAAATATTTTAAAAACAATTTAAATTTATTTTTTTTATTTTATTTTTAGCCAATACTTTATATAAACAATTAAGTTTTTATTCCGTCTTTTAAGAAGTACATATGTTTATCTAAAAAAGAAAAGCTAATTAATCTACAAGTATTTTTATATTTCTTCTCCTAATTAAAATATTTACATATATGTTTTTACATATTTTTTGAAAACGAGAATAAATTTGTTAAAATATTTACGATTGTAAATAATTAAGTACAGTTTGTGTTTAACTTATTTACCGTAAATGCTGAAATTACCTTGGGTAATTATTTTTTCAATCTCTAACTGGAGAGGGCAATTATTAGGGAGAATGTGCCAGACTAATTGAGGCGAAGTTGATTTATTTTTTTATATTAGATCTTATTATAATTTTTAAAATATTTTTAAAGTCTACTTAAAAACTAGGGGGTAATTATTTGAGAGAGGCTAATTATTTCAACATTTACGGTAACTACTATTTAGAAAAAAAGATTAATTTAATTTTCAATATTTTTAAAATAACAACATTTTATTTTCATTTATTATTTCCAACTCTTTCTCTCATATATTAACTTAAAAAGGCAACAAAAATAAATAAAATTATCTTTCAAAAAATTTTTTTACATTATTTATTTTATTTCCAATCAATTTATTTGTGCCTTTTTCTTTTTTAATATTTATTTTTTTATTTATTTTATTTTCCCCTTTTTTCATTTCCTTTTTTCTTTCCCTCAAATAAAGCTTTTAAAATAAGCTGTTGCCTGGCGGCGTTGTTTTTTCTTTTATTTTTTTGTAAAGGTTTAAGCTTTATAATAATAATATCGCCTTTCAAATCCTCTGTTCTTAAATAAATAACATCATTTTCTCATTTAGAATATATTTACCTAATTTTTATTTATTATTTATTTTATAATTTACATTTAATTTATACTAAATTTATTCTAAATTCTTACTAATTCTTACTTTCTACCTAACCATAAATTTAAAAAAGACTAAATTCTTATCATTATAAATATGTATTATTTAATTGTAAATTATTTTAGATTAATTATATAAATTAATTATTTTATAAATTATATGTTTTGTAAATTATTTTTGCAATTTTAAAAAGAATAAAAGAAAAATAATGTCTGTTGAAGAAGAAAAAAATAACAGAAGAACGAAACCTTTTTTTGTAACTTCTCTTAATATCTCCTATCCAGAACTAGAAAATGCCAAAGGAAAACGAGTAAAATTTTAAGGGCGTCAGTGGTGAAAAAATAGCAGCAAATTCCCGATAGTTTTTTTTCTCAAAGTCAAAATACTTGCCAAAAATATACATTGGGTAGCCATTATACTACATATTTATTTCTTCTCTCACAGTCAAGGAATATATAAAGAATCTAGAGTGGATTTAAAACGGAAGAAGAGCAGAATAGTTAATCTCCACTACCTTTTCTTTCCTCTTTTTTACTTCCTTATCTCATGTTGTAGCACTTCACTGAAAAATAACTGACTTAACTGATAAACAGTTTAGATAAATTAATTTTCATTTTAACTTTTTGTTATGTTTTACCAAAAATATACTTTCCAAGTACGTCTTTCTACAAATTTTTATTCGACAAATTGTCCATTAAGTGAAATACCCCCCCTCAGTATTTCAAAATCTTTTTTTCTGTTTTATAACTAACTACTCCCTTCCCTTCTTTAAACCTATGTTTCAACTCCCATTGACTTTTAAAGCGGTATAAGGCCACAAATCCCCCCCCCCCTTTTTTTTTTTAGTTTTCTTTCCATCTCGCCTATTTTTCTTTTGTCTTGCTATTTGCGCCGTCGCAGTTTTATGCATTTTGTGGCTTTCTCCAATGAGGGACATATTTTTTTTCTTTCAGCTTTTTAAGCTTTCCTCTCCAAGTCATTCACTTTTTTCTCTTAAATTCTTTCACATTGACTTTTCTAGTAAAAGCAAAAATATAAACCATTTCTCCATTATACATTTTATTTTCCCATTATGGCAAAAATGGATTTATATATTTACAATGAAAATTCTGTGGCCATTAATGAGAAGAATTTATTGAATTTGGCATTAATTTTTGAAATTCTTTTGTTAATGCTAATTAACTATACAGGAATTTCATAAGTTGGGTTTAATAAGGGGATGTATATTGTATAGGGTTGGGGTTTTCGAGTCGAGCCGACGTTCGAGTCATTTTTTCGGGCCGGCCCGACCGAGTCTTTTTCGTGCCAAAATTCAAAGCCCGACTCGATCTCTCGGACTGGGCCGGATCGGGCCCCCAACCCTAATATTGTATATGAGGGATGTTAACTATTTACGTTTACATGTATTCTTCTTCCAATATATTGTTTTGTTCTTTAAAACAATAAAAAAATTATCGACGATTGTCACAAAATAATAATTATTATTTTTTCTTTTAGTAATAGTTAACAATGCCAGCTGTCAACTAATCAATCATTTAACTACAAATATTTATTTACTACCTATTCGATAAATATTCAAAAGAATTACAAATCTCCAAATTAAAAACAACAATCTGTCCCACAAAACCCCCTCAAACGAGCCTTCTCCCTCTTTAATAATTGCCAATTCTCCACCAATTTGTCGAAGTGTCAACAGCAGCGACAGTCAAGAAAGTTCTAATACAAATAGCTTTTACAGTGCGCAGAGTTGTGGTAAAGGAACACATTCTCTTCAATCATCATTAAATAGCTTATTAGAAAACGTTGAAGTTTCTGAAGAACAAAAATTATTTTTTGAAGAGAAAATTATTGTTAAAGAATTAAAAAGTTGTTCTTCTACTTCATCTTGTTGTTGCAGCTCTAATTGTGGAAATTGTTGCTGCAAGAGAACAACTACTATTGTTAGCAGTAGTTGTAGTACTGAAGAAACGTTAAAACAGCGAAACACTGATACCCGAATTGTTTCCCCTTCGGTTTGATTTTTTGTATAATTTTGTGGAAATATCTACGTGATTTCCCTCAAAAGATATTCTTGTACTTTTCTTCTTTAAAGGTTCCACCAACACCCACTAAACAAGAATCTCCTCCATTATTTGTGCAAACATCTAGGCTCGAACTGGATAGACTAAACGCCATCAGCAGCACTAAAGCCTGTGCTTGTGAGGAGTGCATTCTTGCACGCCAGAGAGAGCAACACGAGAGAGGAATAACTGAAAGCAATATCCAACCAATGCCGGGTTCAAGCAGTAGTGGTGGAAGAGCAACTGCTGCCGGTAGTGGTGGACTTGCCACAAATTATGGTGCTTCTACATCTATCGGTCCATCTAGCAGTAGTGGTCAACTTCCATTATGTAATGGTCCAACAGGCACTCAGACAATTGAGGAACAGATAAAACAAATTGATAGGATCACAAAAGTTAGTTGATTGATGAAATTATCTATGTTATCTTGATTATTGAAAATGATTCGTGACGTTTTCACAAACTTAAAACAAATACGGATTTCCCTTTGTTTTCGATTAAACATACTATGTACATATTACTTTATATTAAATTCTTTTTTAGTGTTGCGTAAAAGAAATTAGATTTTTATTCAGTAAAAGCAAAACAATAGAAATTTTGCTTAACGAGACAAAAATTGAATTTTCACTAAGATTCTACTTATCTTTTTTAATAAACTTTTACATATTTTTCTTAAAATAAATATATTTATAGGAATGCGACAATTCCCGTAAAAGTCTAGAAGCTATAAATCGGAGATTGGATGATTTAACAGATGAAATGAGGAGATATCGAGAATTTTTAGGACATGAAAAAACAAGAAGAGTCCCGGCTCTTTATAAGACAACAAATGCAGAACCTTTAAGTGTTTACAATGAAAGTATATGCAGATTAATAGATTCATTAACTTCACAATTAACTTTGGTATGTTAAATTCTTTTTTACAAGGAGAATTTAGAAATATTCTTTTAGGAATGGACAGAAAAATTACGGTCGATTCAGAATCAAACGATTGCCAGATTTCCAAATGAAAAGGGTTAAAACACAAAAGATATTCACCTATTTTTTCATTTTTGTGTTACAATTGTTAATTTTAATAAAACAAAATAATTACTTAATGTAATTTTTATTTTAATTTATGACTTTGAATTTATTAAAAAATATATCCAGATTTATATTTTAATATTGCTAAAAATTTAACAAATAAAAATCTCTCAGTATTATTTAAATACAAATGTACCATGTATATTTCTTCCATAATAAAAGTGAATGTGAAATAGTATAATATTAAGTATTTGAGGTTAATTTATTATACACTCCACGTTAAAAAGATATGCCTAATCTTATTTCTAGATCTGGTATTTTACCAAAGTGGGGATTAACTCAGTTTTTATTTTTGACCTTCAATAGATGAATCAAGGAACTCCAAAAATCACTAGGGAATTGGTATACTACAATAAAGACCCGAAACTTCATGTCTATTACAAAAAAAATTAACTTTTATTTAACGATTTCTTCATGATTTAAATTCTTTACTGTGAGGTAACTCAAATCAGAAAAGTCATACAAGCCTTAATGTTAACCAAAAACTAATCTAAAAATGAAGGTAGGGGCATCTTTTAGCGTCGAAGTGTATTTCTGAAAAGAATAATCTCCTTAACGGTCATAATTTTTTAATATAACTGGAAAAATATATAAGAAATTAATTTTATAGGTAAAGTGACAAGAGACAGGTATATTAATTCAATATTTTAAGAAATTGTGAGATAATATTTTTAGGGGCTGCTTGACGTCCACAACGGCTTTCGACGCTTCCATCAGTGAACGAACTTAGAGATTTTGTTTTTTCCTTTGAAAAAACAAATATTTATAAATTATAAACTAACAAACATACTTTCCCAAAAATAAAACGGACAAAAAGAGGCATTAAACTCTCTTGATGAACAAGCTGAATCCATAAACGTCTAACAGGCTTTACACCAGTTTCATCATATTCAAATGGAGTGTTTCCATGTTCTAACAATAAATTGTGGTATTTATTTAGTGTTGGTGTTGCAGCAACAGGTTTCCCGTGATTTTGATGTTGTTCACTGTCAGAAAGTTCCTTAATAGAGAAAAAGGTCAAGATTCTGTTTAAAAATATTCAAAAACCCTACTTGAACATGCATATTTGGCAGGAAATCAGGAGGACATTCAGTTAAATCTGTTCCCAGCTTTGCTTCAATTTGTGCAGCCCATAAATTAAGACATGTAATCGACTGTTCTAATTTTGGAAATCTTCTTGCAACTTCTGTAAAGATTAAAATTTTAAATACATAATTTATTCTTCATTTTTAACCTCTCAAATCAAAACCAGCAAGCTCAACAAAACATTCAATTTTAGAAATTATAAGCCTTAAAAGTGCCAAACGAATTAATTGCCACGCATAACTATCATGACAACAATGTGGATATATTCTTTCTTTATTTAAAGACAATTCATCCAAATCACTTTGGAATTTAAAATAGTCAGTTGTAGTTTCATCTAATTCCTTTTCTTCATTTGATTCTTGATCAGAATCATAATCATCAAAAATAGCATCTGCAACTGTTCCTATTTGGTTACTTAATACCTTTATAATTTAAATTTATTAATCAAATTTATTTTTAATATTTTGATTCAACTTTATCTGTAAAATATTGTAAAATGTGTTTTCTTGGGGGAATCCAACATTGAATAATTTGTTCTGAAGCACCTCCTTGATGAGTTTTGGAAGGTAATTTTTGGTTAATTGTAGCTTTAGATGAGGGAGCAAATACCTTTAAAAACAAAAAAATGAATGGTTCTACATAAAAGTTAAAAGTCACTTTAGCATGTAATTTTGCTCTCATTAAAGCTATTTCCTCAACTTGATTAGAATTTTGTTGTTGAAGTTGAGAATTACTTTCAGTTCTTTCACCAATTCTTGGGGCTAAAATATATGATTATTTTTTAGATGAAATTAATTTTAACGTTACGTGGTGGACGTACTGGGATGGCGCTTTTTAGTTTATGTTCTCCACCACCGCCAAAAATCTCTCCAAACATTTGATTACCAATAGGATGCGCGGCCAAACGATAAAGTAGTCTAGAGTCGTAAAAAGTGAAAGTATAGAGGAATGTTGAAAGAAAAATTGTTGAAAAGAATTCAACAAGTAGAAGACGTAAATTTGGAGGAGTGTTGTCAAGCAAACTTTCTCGATTCAAAAGTTTAATTAAACTATCAACGCCAGGCCAATGTTGTGGTTGACTACGAACATCTAATTCATCAATTGCAGTAACCGAAACACTAGTTCGTCGAATAGGTTGTGTTAATGGACTGAAAATTAAAATTATTTCTTCATTTATTAATTTTGGTACTTTTAAATATCCCGCCCAATTATTTATTCTCAAAATTAAAGTCAAAATTAAGCAAGGGCGGGATATCAAAAAAGTACTTTTTAATTTTTGTAGATATACCCAGAAAACGTTTGAGGAGATAGTCGAAATTGATTAAATAATTCAATATTTGAAAGAGATTGGTAGACGCAAAATGAAAGTCCTTGGCAAAGTGAAAATAGTTTCATAACCTTAAAATTAATTTTAAAAAATTTGAAGAAGCAATAAATACTTTAGAAACATCAGTATCAATTTGAGGAATTTTATCAAACTGATTTATTGCAGAGAGCAACGAAGCGCATTGTTCAGACATGAAACGAAGTGGAGAAATAGGTGAGTTAACGTTGGGTGAAAGAGATGCAGCAAGTAAAGGAAAAGTTCTAATATCTGATACTATAATTTAGAAATTTTAAAAATATTCTAATTATTTCTCTGATACCTTCCTTATCTCTTTGAGCTTCCATTAAAAGCAAAAGCAATTCCATTTGTACCGCAATAAGACGAATATTTCTGCTACCGTGTAAGGCACAATATGCAGCCAAAGAATGTAAAATTTTTTGGTGTCTTTTTAACCATAGTCTTCGTTTCAATGCTTTTGATTTACGTTCTTTTAATTCGATTCTGTCTTGTTCTAATGCTTCGTGAAGAGGTGGTAATTCTTCATCTGTTCCTTTAATAATCGAACTTGTCGGCTCTTCATTGCTTAAAATATTTAAGAAATTATAAATTTTTATTGATTTCTCAAATTTCAAAAATCATCAAGGAATGGTGGAAAGTACTTCAAAACAACTTAAACCCTTTAGAGTAGAGCGCGGACCGTACCGTACTACGGCCGTATTTTTCGGTATTTATCGGTATTCCGTATCGGTAATACGGTACGGAATACGGTACGGTAAAATTCTTGCCGTAATACGGGCCGTATCCCGTACTACGGCCGTATTTTATCGGTATTTATCGGTATTCCGTATCGGTAGTACGGTACGAAATACGGTACGGAACGAAATTCCGCGCTCTACTTTAGAGCTTATATAAAAATTTTCTTATAAGCCCAGCAGAAAGACATAAAATTTTCTGTGAAACTCTAAGATTTATAGAATATTTAATAGGTATGAGCAATTCCGAAGTTTGCTCATCAGATATTTACTTAACTTACTTTATAATATTTGATGAACATTGACTGTTTTCCTCATCTTCGTTCACTTCATCTTCAAAATCATCTTCTTGCGAATAGCAAATATTTTTAAGAACTTCACATTCCCTTTCCAACCAACAATAAAGCTTTAAACGAAGTTGGCCTCCAGGAATTTCATAATCTCCATTGGCTAATGTTGTAAGTTCATCAGTCATTATACTCAATGTCGAAAATAATTTCAAATCTTGTAATTCAGATGAACAATCTAAAGTTGATAATTCATGTTTTGTAATCAAATCTTTCTTAAGTGAATTTCCATTAATTTCTGGCTTAATTGAAGTAAATCGTTCTTCCTGATTTAATTTAGATGAAACAGGCATAGACCAATCAATCTAAAACTTCAAATAAATTTACTATTTATTTTCTATTTAATAAACCTGTTCATCAAGAGATGGTCTATTCACATCAGGCAGTATTACTTCTAATTCCGCCTCTTGCCCAAATTGTTTGGGCAACGAAGTAAGAACATCAAGCGATAAAAGCGGACAACCAGAATCCAAATGAGCATTTGCCGTTCTCAAATAAAGACGTTTTTCACTATCGCTAAGCCTTGAACCAATTCTACGTGTCCATGTAAGAAAATGTTCTGTTGTGGTCATTGCAATACCAGCACGTGTTAATTTTTGGCGAATCTTTAAGAAGATTCTAATTTCATTTTTACACAATATTTTACTTTACCACTAGTGGATGTCTCCTCAAAAATGAATAAAAATTGAATATATCCGGGAATGATGGTTCAAAATGTCTCTTAAATGAAAATAATTAAAAAATATAATAATGTAAAAACCAAAGTATCGTCGCTATTAGTCCTTTCCATTTTTATTTCACGATCTTTAATCCTCTTAGGATCATTTGCCTCTTCAAGAAATGTTTCAACAGAAAAAACATATTCATTCATTATCCAAAGAGACATTGACCGTTCAAAAGGATCTCTAAAAAATAAAAATATATAACCCAAAACATGTTAAATTTAACCCTCTTGCATTTGGAAAAGTAATTGGTTCAACAGTTTTCTTACTCTCATAATTTTTTATCAATTGTCTAAAGTGTTCTACTTCACAGCCAAGTACCTCTTTACAAAGAAGTTCTGAAAGAAGTTCAAATTGTGCTTCAGTTTCAACTTCATATAAACGCAAAATGACTATAGCCAATTGTAAATCGTGAATTCTAGCCAAGATTATCTTTAAAATAGAATATCCATATATTTATATAAAATCAAAAACCTGAAGAGCATCTTTAATTGACCCCGCCAAGAGAAAAAATGCTGCGGCATGCTAAAAAATATTACAAATAAACTAAAAATAAAATTATAAATTACATGGAAGCGTTGTTTGCTCATTAAAATAAAAGCATTTTTAAGCGAAGCCTTCTTCCATTTCTCTTGAGTAAAATCTTCTCTAAAGAATTCATACATTCGTGTGTCATTAACAGTCTAAAATATTTAAATCTTAAAATTTGATAGAAATTGTAAAAACCTTAAAGAGTTGTGTCAAGACATTCTTTTTCCTCATGGCTAAATAAAATAAAGCAGCATCCAAAGGATTTTGATCTTTTTGAAAAATATTCTTCGCAACTCTTTCAATACAAGTTCGAAGTGAAGCAACGTTCCTCAACCACCAAGCAACACCATAAGAACGCATTTCATCCCAGTTTTCTTGTTGACGTTGAACACAAGGAATTGAACTAAGCAATTCAGCTTCAGTATCAGAATGGAATGCCCAAATTACATATGCGGAAGAAATTCCACTTAAAAACGTTAAATTTTCTAATAAATAAAAAATATAACAAACTTTGTTTTCAGCTGTTTTCTTTGTTTAAGCGGTAAACAACGAAGTAAATATTCATATTGTTTTTTAGCCATTAAAAACCGCAATCCACATTCGTCTACAGTTTCCATTCCAGTAGTGTAAGCAAAAGTTGTTTGTTCATTCTTATCATTAGCTGACGATTCTTGTTCAAACATAGCGTTTGCATGTGCCAATCTGTCAACTGCCGAACTGGAAAAATGACTTATCGTATCCGCTACAGCTAATAAATGCATTTGATCAGTGTTGGATAGACCTGCAAAGCAAAAGGTTAGAAGGAAAATAAAATATAATAACCATGTAAATGAGTGTGAGTGAGAATATCAGTCAAGTATCTTGCGTGATTTGCAGTAAATTTAGCGGCAGGTGGAGAACCTGGATTTGTTAAAACCAAAAAACTAGCTTCATTTAAACTTCCGATAGAAAATTTTCGGCTACGACTGACTGAATTTTTTCTTTCATCGTCTGATTGATCATCAAAATCGTCCTCATCAAATTTAAAGTTTTCTTCTTCAGTAATGCTTCGAGCGAAAAGTGAATCATAAACATTTGTCTCCTTGAAGAGAAAAATTAATACATACATTCCAGATAAATAAAACCTCCTTTTTGTCGAAAGAACTTCTTGTAACAAGTTGGCTTTGTTGAGAATTTGTCGCATTTTCTGAAACTTCATCAGCTAACAACAAAGCATACAAAGGAAGAGAAGGAATTGAATCAACTTGATTTTGTTCCATGACGTTATTGTTGAAAGAAGATCGAGCAGAAATACTATTTCGTCTCTGTTTGACATCCGGATCAAAATCATAATCAATAGTTTGTCGCTTCACTACAGAAGATTGGCGACCGAAAGAATATCGACGAACTGAAGACAATTTACGGACCTAAAAAATAAATGTCAATGTAAACCAGACACAACTTTAAAATTAAGTAATAAGAGAAGACTATGTATAATGAAAAATCCCAACTTAACATATGGAGGATTGTCATATCAAAAGAGCATAAATTATATAAAAAACCTGTTTATTTGCTCGTAATGCGTGTAAAACATTCAAAAGTATAGCACGGACTCTTTGTATCTTTCCAGCATTAAGCATTCCAACCAGTTGAGTTGGATGATATTGAGGAAGGAGAGGAGTAGAAAGGCAAGCAGCATCGAAAAGTCCTTCATTTTTATGAATTTCCAAATTTGTTGGCTCATTAGAAGGTTTGCATATCCTATATCCATGTACAACGTTTGTAACAGAAGCAGCAATTGGAATATTTTGGTGTTGGATAACACTTTCATTTGGAGTATTTTCTATTTGTATCCGCCATAAATTTAAGGTACCAATTCGGTGATTTGTTAATAAATAAATTTCATTGTTTTTAGCCAAATACTTATTTCGAGCAAGAAAAGCTAAAAAAATATATTCAAATTTTAAAATAAATATAAGAAAAAACCTTGAAAATCTTGAGTATGACTTTGTTCTTCAATATCAGATTTTCTTTTGTGAGAATATTCAAAAAGTATGTGAAGTGATGGACGCAAAGTGTTCATTGGAGATAATAGAGAAACTGCATCGGATAGGGGAAATGCTTCTGGAATTCGTGAAGCAAAACTGACTGTAGGTTGCTTCCAATAATCATCTAGCCATTCCAGTGTCCTTAAAATGAATTAATTTCTTAACATTAATGAAAAAAGCGAAGTCTAATTTTTTTCGAAATCCCATAACGAAAGAAAAAATAAAATATAACCATGTTAACAAGCTTCCATCCATTGGATGAATCGCAAAAAGAATATCACAAGATTTAACCCAATGTCTTAAAAGACCTTCCAATTTGTGATCTATTGAATCATTTGACATCGGATCATTCTAAATAAAAATTTTAATTAAATTTAAAAAAAAACAAAACCAATTCAGCAGCCTGTTGACTTGTTTTAATCAAATTTGGGGAAGTTAACGGATGTGATAGACTTCCTGGATGTGGAGTTAAAAAGTCAGCAGCAAAACCAGCACTACTACTTGAAGAATGCATTGAAACAATTTGACATGGAGACAAATCTTTAAAAAAGAATAATTTTTAAACTCTTTAACAATAAAAACCTCGAGATTCATTTTCGGCTAAATTTTCTGCCAAAACTTTTTGTGTCCCCATTTCAAAATCATATTCCTTATTGTTCAACCAGTGGACAGAAAATGATAATCTTGAATGTCGCTTTCTTTTCACGTCATCGTCTTTGTTTTCAGAAACACGACTAATTGCAGGAACAAGTAGACAATCTATAAAAGTAAAAAACTAATTATGTATTTTCAAATATTACCTTCTGCATTAATTGTTGCAATTAAACAAAAAACTAAAGGATTTCCTGAGGCATAATTAGGAATAGAAAAATCAGCAATTGAAGAGGGACGAACTGGAACGGATGAATCGGGAACTTGTGTAGAATTTTGAATGTCGGGTTTCTTTTTTTCAGTTCTAGAAAATAAAATCAAATAAATTCATAAAACTATGAAAAAATTCAAAAAATGGAAATAAAGAAAAGAGTATTTTAAAAAAAAGCAAGGATGTGGAAGAATTTAAAGAATATAGGAGAAATTGCTATGGCAATATAAATTTCCTTGTAGAAATTTTTAACAATTAAATTCAAAATTTTTCAAACATTTAATTAAAAATAAAAAACTCACTGATGGTGAGTAAATTTTTGTATTAGCCTTGCTTTTGCCTTTCTCATCTGCAATGAAACGCGATGTGGATTATGCTTTGGTTTAATAACAGAAGGATGCCCATTTTGTTGAACAATTGCATGTTGAATATCATTGATAAAATTGTATTGAAGACCTGTATCCCCATTTTGGACTTCTTTCCATATTCTCGCAGTATTATCCTCACACCATGTAATTAAAGCATTGTGAACTAATTTGCGAGGCATTAAAAATCCCCCAGAATGTCTCCATTCAAAGCCACAAACAGAAGAAGGGTGTTGCAAATAAATAAAAGAAAAAGAATCTTGAAAATAAAATGTTAGAAAATATAGAAAATTGAAAGAAACCTTTAAGTTGATACCAAATTTTGACAAAAGGATCATGAGAACCACAAGTAGCAAATAAAGTCCCGTCGTTTGAAAAACGGACGTGTTTAATTTTGTTAGCTAATTTAATTCTCCAAATAACTTCCCATTTAATTTCCTTAAATATTTTTTTTGAAAAAATAAAAAAAATATTCAAAAAATTACTTCATCTGAATTTAAAGTAAATTTAATTCCATTAGTTTGAGCAGGCTTATTCATTGCAACTGAACAGGAAATAATTTTGTCTTGATAAAGTATAAGTTCTGTTCCAACAAATAAAAGTAAACGAAATCCTTCTAGCACCCAATGAACTCCACCAATTTTATCTTCCATACTCCAACTTTGGGCTTCTGTCCATGTATATGGAAAAATCTGAAAATAACTTTGTTAAATTAAAAAAGAATTTAATTTTTTGACTTTCTGTCCACTTTGAACTGGCTCAAAAATTTTAATTTCTTTGTTGAAACAAATTGCTATCTAAAAAATAAATTTATTTTTTAAAAAATATTCAAAACCTTTCCAGATTCAGAACAGCAACTGACTGCAGTAATTTCACAATTATTTATATCACAATGAATAACATGAATTTTTTCGAATCTTTCAGTTAAAATATGTAAATGAGATCCTATTGCACAAGCCTAAAATTTTTTTAAAATTAAAATAAAAAAAATTAAAATTACAATAAAATTGAGTCCTTCAATACTTCCAACAGAATACGGATTATTTATTCGATTTAAAGTTCCAATAGTTATTTGATTGATGTTGCTATTCTCCATTTATAAAATAAATTAAATTATATGTTTCAGGAATAAAAAAGGAATGTAAAAATAATTCTAAAAAGAAATATCAATTACAAAAAAGTCGAATCTCTAGAATAAAAAATGTCCAGCTGATTTTAAGAGATTTACTAATCTATCGTAAAAAAATTGAACCAATTTACAAAAATTGATCATTGGGCTTAAAAAATTTGAATAAAAATTAAAAAATGACAATTTATCCCAACGTCTTTTTCTCACTCTCTCACTTTTTTTAATGTTCTCTCGTTATTTTTCTCTGTTTAGTACATAGTTATTGTCTACCCTCCAAATCAGCAAAATCGTCATTTTTTATCTGCGGGTTGGACTGATAAGTTAGTTGTCCTTTAATTTGCTAATATTTTCGTTGATAAATTTATTTTCTTTAAGATTTCAGATTTTGTTTTTTGTATTTTTGAATGTCTTCATCGCTAAATGTTGAAAATAATCAAAACAATTCAACTGCGCCACCTGGATGGAATGACCCTCCACCTACAATTAATCAATCTAATTTAAATAGTCGAACAAATTTACACAAGCTTAGGAGGCCTGTTGATCCATCAATTCAGGTATTTTTATTTTCTAATTAAATATTTTTCAATTTTTTTTTGATTTTTCAGGGTTCAAATTTCAACACGCCAGAAAAGGATTTTTCTCTTTCTCCTAATAATAACTCCCACTTTCACCAATCAAGATCTTTTCCTCAGCTTACAAAGCCAGAATTAGTACAAGGGTTGGGGACTCATCCAGGTTCGGCATTCACTCCAACTTCTGCTGGATCACTTCTTTCGAGTGCAAATTGTTCGTCACCTTCGATGTCGATGAGACACTTTACTGGTATTTTAAGTTTATATTTTCTAGAGATCCCGTATTCTCTATAATAGAATGACTGCGTTCTATTAATACTGTATTAATTTATTTTTAAATTTTAAATCCATGCTCAGGCCCGTAACCACGAAAAAAATCATGGTTACGGTCCTCTTCATGATTCAGGTTTTTTACTTTAAAATCCTTTAATTTTTGATTTTATTCGTTTTTTTAAAGCGTGAGTGACCTAATAAATTTAGTTTACTCGTCTCCTTCCTGTTTACAAAAATTTAAGTATTTACTTTTAATTACCAGTTTTCTTTGACTTACATAAAAATGTTAGGTAATTAAACGTATAATTAACCTTTTTTTCAATTACATTGATATAGTATTATTATATCACTTACTTTTTTTAGTATTCATCCAACAATATCCAATTTTATTACTATATATTTTTATTTTTACTATTTTACTCTTTTAAATTATTAAAACAATATACCTACATATTATTTTTTCATTTAATATTACTTTTTTTTCATTTAGTAATTATTTTTTTTATTTTTACAGATACTTCTCACGGGACTATACCTCCTCCTCCTGTAATTCTTCCTGCTCCGCATTCTCAGCTCAATATACAACAATTAGCGGCTAATTCTTCACAATCTATGGCTCCTAATTTGCCTCAACCTTTACCACCATTTCTTCAATCGATTCCCACAGCGGTAAGTGTTGGGGGCTATTTCAAGAAGGGGATTATTTGTGCTATTATTTACTTTGAATGGACATAAAAAATTTTTATTTTAAGGATCTGAGTGCTACAGCCATTCTTTCTCATCCCAACCAACAGAGTTGTGCCCCTCCATTTTATCATCCAGTTATAAACGGACAAATAGATTTATTAAATCAACAACAAATTGTTTCGGAAATGCCAAGTATTACTACAATAATGACGGGAGAAGAAGCTACAACACAATCAATTGGCCAACAACCAATGATTTTTTCACCTCCAAATATTGTTCCACAATGTCGACCGACAACACAGCCAATTCCAACAGATTATAGGTAAATTTAATATTTATAAGACAAATGTTATTTCCTTTCAAGTAACGTGTCCATAGTTGGATATGTCCAGAGGATATCCAGAAAAAAATATTTTCCTCCGAGGTGAAAAGAAAAATTTTGAGAGAATTTTTAAAAGTAAAAGAAAGCTGGCTTCCTGGCCTTCTGAATATTAAAAAATTTTTGTTCAAGAAAGGTTAAAAAGTGTGCTGGCGTTCGGAACGCCACAGTAAACCCAAACGTCTGGCGCACATTTCCCCTTTTTTGAAATTTTTTGATACACGTTTGTTCTCCATATTTACTGGGGTTTTACGTAACATAAAATTCCATAAAAATATTAGTATATACATATTTGGTCAATTTTTTCACCCCACAATAATTATAATTAATTTATCTGTATAAATAATTTTTTAAATTTAGGACTCCAATTAAAGCAGCAGGCGATGTTTCGCTTAGTGGCCCACAATTAGCAGCATTTTTAACAAAAGCTGCCCTTCTTTTACCACAGGTATTTAAAACATTTAATTTGTTTTTAAATTTATTTAAGGGTCCAATGTGTGAAGGAATTTTGCTTCGTATAAAACAATTTGAAGAGCTTGTCCTGTCTAGACAAATATCAGAACCTTGCCTTAAAAAGTTGAATTTTGTAGTTGATGGTAATTTTTTTAAAAAATTTATTTTTCTTTTTTTGTTTTTTAGCTCTTGATCGCCATGTTTATGACGAGGCTGGACAATTTTTTGAACAAATGTTAGTAAATTATGCAGATGATTGTGCTATTGGTGGTTGGGCACACGGTATTCGATTGCTAATTCACGAATTACGGAAAACTCAATCGCCAAATATAAGATCACATAGTGCTGGGACTAGGAATCATTGACCTTTCTTTTAATTTCTGTTTAATTTTAAGACTGTGACAGGCCTATATTCGATAAATTTATCACCCAAATTATTTCGGGCAGCGCCAAAAAATTTAAAAAATAAATGCCCACAATTATTTTTATGAATTTTAAAAAATCACCAAAAAATTTCTTTATTTCCTAAATAAATATTCTTTTTTTCAATAATTATATGGGCCTGTGTTGATTTAATAGAGATATATATTATTCTATAATGTTCTTTTAAATAATATTTTAAGTATATTTACTAAGAGATGTGCACATATTTTAGAAATAATTTTAGATTATTTAATTAATCTTTATTATTGTACACATACTCATGTTTTGAATATACATATTAATGGCTTTCCCCCCAAAAAGTGTTGTGATTTTTCTTTTAATAAAGTCTTTAATGATTTATTGAGGGTTGGACAAAACCGGTTAGTAATTGTTACCTATAGTTTTTGGTTAATCCGATCTTTTGATTTCCGCCTGATTTTTGGTTTTAATCAAATCTTATTCTTTTTGAAAGTTTTTTATCCAACTCAATTTTTTAAATTTGGGAATAAAATTTATAAATTTGTTGATATAAAGGCTTTTATTGTATTTAAGAAATTTAAATGTAAATTACGATGTTTTGATATTTAATTTTATTTTTAAAATTATTTTTTTACTTTTTTTAATATTACTGTTCTTTATCGTTATTTTTTAACGGAAATAATATTAACTAAAAATAACCAAACTTTCAAAATCTTTATTATTTTTTATTTACAGAGCTATTTTTTTAGAAATGAAATTTTCTTTATCTCTTGGAGTGAAACGATGCAGAAGGAATGTTGAAGATTGGTTTCGTAGAGTTTGGGAGGTTGGTTATGTTGGGCCGTCACTTCCAAAAAAGAAATGGTAGCGGAGTTTTTTAAAATTATTGTTTATTAATTTTTTCTTTTTTTAGTACTGGAAAGCAGGAAGTTCCGATAACGTGAGTTTTTTTATTATTAATTTTGGGGTGTTTATGTAGTTTTTTGTGTTCGTCACTTTGTATTTGTTTTTGAGTTTTGTTTAATTGGCATTTTTGTGTTTTCAATAAGAGCTTTTTCAGTGAAGAATCAGTTGATACAACAAGACAACAATTAATGAGAGAATGGAATGTTATGCAATGGTTAGCAAATCCTTATTTAAATGCTGAACGTGAGAGGCCGTATATTGAACAATATGGAGATGTTGTTGATCAATGGAGACAATCACAAATTGAAGCTAAACAACGCAAAATGCCAAATAAACCAAAAATTTTTAAAGTTTATGATGGAAATTTGGAAAAGAGACGGGCAAATGTTGGAAATATGTTGCATTCACATAGGACTGTGGAAGAACAAATGAAAGATTTAATTAGATTGACAAGATGGGATTAAATTGGATTTTTGAATTTTTTGATTAGTTGTGGATTGTTTTTAAATAAAATATATTTTGTTTTAAAAGTTTTGGAAGAGTCAGAAATGATTATTTTTGTCGTCATGGATTTTTATTTCCCTGTTTTAGTATATGACGGGTTTCCTTTTTTAAATTTTATAACGGGAAGAATGAATGGAAAGAGAGATGGATTTAGAAGGAAAAACATAAACAAATTTTCATTTGACGATAATTGAAATTATGCAAGTTGCATTCACATAGAACTGTTTTATTAGGCGAGCTATTAGGCAAGGCCAATTAAGCAAGTCTTTGTCGACATTGTGGGGGTAATCTCAAATTTATGTGAGAACAAAGATATTAGACTAAATATTTAATTTTTTGAATTCAGAAACAGCAATCCTCAAATTTTGATTACCTCGTATCTTTTCTTGACCGATTTTTTCAGTTATTTTTAATTACTTTAAAAAATTTACCGACTAAAATTTATCCCCTTCTTGCTTACTTTAAAATCGTTATTATTAGCGCACGCCTATATCAGACTTGTCTAATTATAAAAAGTGCCGTTTTCGCACGTCTGCCTCATATTTATCAATTTAAATATTTGTGGCCGCTTACTATTAAAAGGAAAGCAGAGGAAGATGAGCATATGTATGTAGATGACAAATATGGCAGATTTTTAATATCCTTCTTGTGAGTGTTTTCTCTCCCCTAAGTGTTTTCCCTCCCTCTCTTATTAACACCTTAAATATGCCATAGCAGTTTTAATATTTATCTCTCTCATCATTTTAAGCCTTTTTAAAAACTTTTAATGTTTTTTGCAGTCAATTAAAGCT